TTATATATACCATCTATCACCACTGATGATGGTGGAGGGTATAAAAAAACTATATATGATATTGATTGGCTGATACGCACATTTTTATGTTCACTTTTTGAATAGCTGCTATAACACCAAATTTCTAGGCTAAATATAAAAAAACATAAACCGATTTTCAAAAAATTTGGCAACATCCAGTGTTTGAAGAAGAGAATCTTTAATACACCAAATCCGAATAAATACACCTATAGCACTAATTTCGGGACTGTTGTGATCTTAATGAAATCCAATGACCTTTTTCCGTCAACTTTTTGTTACATTTATAATGCTAAAGATCATGATATATAATTCTCATAGTATATGAGAATTATTATTTAGTTAAATTTTTTTCAAACATTTATTTTTATATGAAAACTCTAAAATGTTTGTAGATCCTTAAGTAACTACGATTAGGTAAAATAAAAATCTGTATTCAATTTAATTTAATATCAAAAATCGATTTTCATCTAAAGCGTTTTCCACCGGAAAATTGTTTTTATTTAAAAACCTGTAATCTGCTGTATATTCTCAGAAAATAACTATTTTAAAACAGAATCTTTATTAGATCTTAAATGTCTACGATGCCACATTTGTATGATGAATAAAAACTATTGAACAAAAACCGATTCTAAAATAGGAAAAATAATATATTCATATTACATTTTCACTTAAATTCGAATTTTAAATCGGATGTGGTTCCTTCTTTTAACACCTAAATCTATCTAGAAAATCATTCATATCTCCGCTTAAAATTTCTATTTATATAACTCTTTAAAGAATTACTTTAAATAACTCTAAATTTGAGAAAACAATAAAGATCCGCAATCAGTCATATTTTCCATACAAATCGAGTTTTATATAAAAAATTTAAATTTATTGTTAATCGAGATAACAATAAAAATCTATGATCAGGTAAACGTGCCATCAAAAAAGTTATCTTTATCTATATATATAAAAATGACTGTGTGTTTATTTGTATGTGGGTTTGTTTGTTTGAAGTCTATAGACGGCTGGACCGATTTTCTTGAAATTTTCACAGTGCCTTCCTGTGTGTCTGGAAGGAACTATAGGCTACTTTTTATTTAGAAATTTTAAGTGGGCGAGGTGCCACGCCTACATCCAAAATAATAATTAAAAGTTGCATATCTCAGAAACTGCAACAGCTAGAGTCCTCAGATTTTGTATGGACAACTTTGACATCCATATGTGGAAAAAATGGGCGGCCTATCTATAGTGGGCGTGACACCTCCCATATAATAAAATCTTAAATTAGTATATCTGAGAAAATATAACAGCTAGAGTTCTCAAATTTTTCGGAGCTACTTTATTAACAACATGAATATTTAGGACAAAAAATAGGCGGACTACCAATAGGGGGCGAGGCACCTCCCATATGAATCTATATATATAAAAATGAAAGTGTGTTTGTATGTATGTATGTTTGTGTGTGCTTTATAGACTGCTAAACGGCTGGACCGATTTTCTTGAAATTTTCACAGTTTCTTCCTGTATGTCTGGAAGGAACTATAGGCTACTTTTTATGTTGAAATTTCATGTGGGCGACGTGCCACGCCCATAGGAAAATATTAAATTAGTTTATCTGAGATAATATAATAGTTAAAGTCTTCAAATTTTGTCGGAGCAACTTTAGTATCAATATAATTATTTAAAACAAAAAGTAGGCGGATTAGCATTAGGGGGCGTGGCACCTCCCATATAAATTTAATACAAAAATTCGTTTATCTTGGAAACTATTACAGTTAGAATATTAAAAATTTGCACGAGTAACTTTAATATCCATGTAAACATTTTGGAAAATAAATTGGCGGACTATCCATGAGGGGAGCAGCACCTCCCATATTAATAAAATACAAAAATTGGTTTATCTGGGAAACTAATAGAACTAAATTCTTCAAATTTTGCACTAAGAACTTAAATATTCATCTGAACATTTTGGAGAAAAAAGAGCGGACTTTCTTCATTGTTATATTCATATAAATTAAATAGGAAAATTATTATATCTGAGAAACTATTAGAGCTAGAATCTTCAAATTTTAATTGAAGAACTTTGACATTCATGTGAACATTCAGAGAATAACGGGAGGACTTTCAATGGGGGGTTTGGTAGCTCACATATGAATTATATACAAAATTTCGCTTATCTGGGAAACTAATAGAACAAGATTCTTCAAATATTGCAAGAAGAACTTTATTATACATATGAACATTTTGGGGGTTGTGAGTTCCCATATGAATTAAATAGAAAAATTCGTATATCTGAGAAACTATTAGAGCTAGAATCTTCAAATTCTGCATGAAGATCTTTGACATTAATGTGAACATTTAGGGAATAACGGGCGGACTTTCAATGGGGTCTTGGCACCCCCTATATGAATTAAATACAAAATTTCGTATATCTGGAAAATTATTAGATTTTTTTTTTATTTGTCATCGATTACATTAAAATCTTAATTAACGTTCGGAAAAAATGTATCTCTGGAAAACATTACAGTTAGAATCTTCAAAATTATTAAGACGATTTTTTATTTATATTGCTTTTAGGGTAGCAAAGCACTCTGGGTATAGCTAGTAATACTATAATATTAAAAACACACAAAATTGAAAAAGTTAAAGTACGTATAAAATAAACAACTCTAAATATTTCTTAAACTACTTAAATATTACATATTAACTATAAACTTTCGGCGTTTATATTCGCTGTTTTTATGGGTCGCATCTCATGTTGTCCTCAAGGAATTCATCCGAGGGTTATTGTCCCTCAGGTACTCCATCTGAAAATAAACAATATAAGACACTTTATTTTATGGAATTTGTTTCTTGTTATTTTAATGGCGTTCAAAAGATTTTAAAATTATATGAAATCTGATTTACTTACTGTTCACATCAGTGAACACATAACACTGTCCATCCCTGACGTCATTTAATACCCACACATAACTGCAGCCAACTTCATCTACATATGAACGTCAGCTGCAGCTTTGGCCTTCATCTTTAACTTACTTATAATTAGGAATGCCAATCGGGACTGATATTTAGAAATCCCGGGATTCGGGATTTTTAAATAAATCCCGGAATCCCGATATCGGGATCCCGGGATTTTCGGGATTTCAAAATCCCGAAAAATATAAAAAAAATTCAAAAAATCTTAATAATTCACCGACAAAAATAACATTTTCTATTTCATATTGCAATATGAATACACTTAGAAGGTGTTTACTTTCCAATAAGCATTTTGTGAAAAGAAAAACAAATTAATTCAAAGTACTTATAATAAAAATCTTTCCATCCCAGGTACTGAATAGTAGAATAAAAACCTACTTTTGAGCAAAAGCTTCTTATATCTTATAAATATAAAATAATACCCATGATATCCAAATTTACAATGGTTTCCAAATTTACAATTTGATGAAACCTAATATTTAGATAGTATGCGTAAAGAGGATCCATACGAGGCTACATAGAGCTCCTGTACTGCACCTATGTACTCATGAGACCATTCGTCTTGAGATGAATATCGGATATATGGTTTTTAATGGTCAGTAGAGACAGGTTGACTTCCATTATAGATTCTAATACACCCATTAGATATCCGATTATTGCCCTTTTTATACCCTATACCACCTTAGTGGGGAAGGTATATTGGGTATCTTCGGAGTATTGCTTTTGTTTTATACTGTCCTTAAATACCCTGATGAATTTTTTCTCATCCTAGCCTAGTGTCCACATTTCGCTTAAAAAGAGAAGTGCCGTAATGAAATTCAGCATAAATAAATTTTATGTAACCGTAAATTCTTCCTCCAAATTTTATGAGGATCGACTCATGTGAAGGCTTCCCCCAAGCATATTTCACAAAATAGTTTTTTAACAATAAATTGCTAAAATATATCGGAGGCGAGGTATAAATCAACTTAAATGATTTATTATGAAAACTAAATCACATTTTACTCTCATAACTGGTGCAGGGGGTTATTTGGTCGTGCTCGCCCGCCAATAATTTCTTACTTGTTATTTTTATATATCCGATAGTATCTATGCCTATTAGTTGCCCTTTTTATTTTTGATATTTCAGCTTGTAAGTTAGTATAGTCATCTTAAGTCCAAAAACTTTTAAAATTCTCTTATTTAATAGTTTATAATGTATAAAATAGCGGAAAAACACTTAAAAATTCGGGATTTTAAAATCCCCAAATTTCCCGGTATTTCATTTTTTAAAATCCCGGTTTTCGGTACTTTCAAATCCCGAAAATCCCGGGATTTTCGGGAATCGGGAATTCCCGTTTGGCATCCCTACTTATAATCAACCTGTGTGAAGAACAAGAAGTGTATGATCAACAAAACGAAAAACAAAACATCAACCCCTAAAACATAAAAATAAACTTAAAAGTTTTTTAATTAAATAAATTATAAACTTAAACCTAAATAAAAACATACAAACGAGTGGTAAAACTAAACCCTAGTACTAAAACCCTAAACCTAAAAATAAAATATTAAAACTTTAATACTAATTAAGAATACATATATCACAGATCAGTGTATCATAGTTTTATTTATATAAAAAACTTACCCTAAAATAAATAAACAAATAAATACTTAAATCTAACCTACCCTAAAATAAATAAATATTAAAACGTGAATTTAACCTAATATTGATCTTAATATTGAACAGTATTTATAACCTAAAAATTTGTGTTATATACTTACCCTATTTACTTATCTTATATACTACCCAAAAGTTCAATAAACACATATGAATTTATAACGTTTTTGAAAAGAAAAGGAAGTACAACAGCAAAAAAGTGCACAAAATACAATACAACACAAAATATTAAAAACAGAACAAATATTAAAATATTTTTAAGAATAAAAAACAAAAATTGTGAACAAAAATTTTTTATGGAAAATTACCCCTTATTTATATACATATATTACATACTTACATTTATATTGAACAAAAAGTATTAACACAAAACATAATAACAAAATATTACAAAATTACCCAAATATAAAAACCACATTAAAATATATACATACCTACACACAAAGTACTCACAGCGACTGTCGACAATTACAACAACAACACTATCCATATTATCAACACTCATCATAGCGGGAAGACGACAAAAAGAGGAATCGACAACACAAGCAATTTTTTTATTTTTATATTGTGGTTTGTACCCTACCCTCAGGAAAAAAGGTGAGTTAAACTTTTTGCAATTTTTATATAAAATTTATAAAATTTCCAATATATTGTTCCACGTAGCATTACAATATACAATATATTTACCATTTAACCAACCCTTTTCATACAAATTTGAAAATATAAAACCCACCCAACCCCCTTTTCAGAGAAATTTGAAAATATAATTTTGTATATTGTTTCTAGGGAACTAATACTGCGTATTAATATAAGTAGCGCACACATTAACGTTTTAATACCCAATTGGAAATTTTGTCAGCTGGAGCAAAAGTAATTTTTGGTACAGCTAAAGCAAAAAACTCACACTTTTTTTAAATTTGAACCCTAAATATTTCTATATAGAAATATATTTTTTATTTTGAGCATTTTTTTTCAAATAACCCAATATGTCTACTCTAGAGTCTGTGGCAGCCGATTTGTTAAGATATATCCAAACGGATTTAAAGTCGTTTGATGAAGATTATCGTGCTACTCCGGAAAGTTTCCGATCTCTACCCGCTCTTAAATTCCAAAAACGGGAATTAAGTGAATTATGGGCTAAAATTGACCGTAAATTCACCCAAATTAGAGAATCTGCCGATATTCTGGACCCGAAGAAAGCTGAAGCCATAAATTTAAGCGAAGTTGTTAGGCAAGTCAGATCTGCTAAAGGATTTTATAGGTCAAGCATGATCTCGATTGACGAATCTATTGAGGAGATTACGAAGGAAAATGAAACCCGACCATCTTTACCCGAACCCCCACAACCCAGCAGTTCTGCAGGTTTCACTGTACCCCCTTCTGACATGCCAACGTTCAGCGGAGATTTCAAAAGCTGGGCTTCGTTTAGGGATCTTTTCAAGGCCATTTATGGCAATAATACCCGTTTAAGTGGAGTTGAGAAACTTTTCCATCTTAAACAAAAAACAAGCGGCGAAGCCAAAGAAATAGTAGACAATGCACCCTTAACAAATGATGGCTTTCTTATTGCGTGGAATCAATTAGCTTCTCAGTATGAGAATCGTAGGATGCAAATTAACGCGCAATTAAAAACCCTATTGAATTTACCCTTAGTAAGCACCATGTGTAGTGCTTCTATAAGAAAGCTTCAGAGAAAGATAAATTGCTGTATTGCAAATCTGAACTCTTTAGACATAGATACGGATCAGTGGGATCCCATCTTAGTATATTTATGCACATCGAAATTACCCAGAGAAACCCGAAGAGAATTTGAGAAAATCTCTTCCAGATTGTGCAGAGATGCCTTCTTGGACTGACTTAGATGTATTTTTGACTAACACATTTAAGGAACTAACTTCGGTTAATGATGTCCAGGACCATAGCATTAACCCTACCCACCCTAAACCCAAACAATTCCAAGATGTTAGAACACAATATGACAGAAAAGGCAAAACATTTCATAACGTAACAAATGATTCGAATGGGAAAACCCAAAAAATCAACCAAAACCCATAAAAAACCCACCCACCCAGAACAAACGTAAAACCGAACAAAAATTTCACCCTTCAACCCAATCAAACAACCCAAGCACCCAAATTAAACATGATGGTTCTATTTGCAAGCTTTGCAGCGAAAACCATACTTTGAGGGAATGTTCGTCATTCAATTCTCTTGGAATAAACGAGAGAATTAAGTTTGCAAAAAAACATGAAATATGTTACAATTGTTTAGCCGTCGGTCATGTCATACAAGCTTGTCGCAGTACATTCATATGTAGATATTGCGGTGGACGACATAATAGTCTATTGCACCGACCAAATTCGAGGATAAACCCACATAATGAAGATAATCAGGCATCTTCATCGTCAAATACAGTTCAGTCTTTCTCAACCCACACCCAATCAAGCAAACCCATAGATGACAGAACAAAGTTATTAGGAACTGCAGTTCTGAATGTTGAAGTTCAAGGTGAATTATTTCCAGCTAGAGCGCTTATTGGCCCAGCTTCAGACTTCTCGTTTATCACAGATAAACTGAGAAGGAAGCTAAAATTATCCACTACACCCATAGTTGCTGAAATTTCAGGATTAAACGAAATAGTTTCTGCTCGTTCAAATTTTTACCCACAGATTTTAAAATCTGGAGTACGAAAAGATCTTCTTAATACTCTTATAGCTCAGGAGACTGAGTTTGGCTGGATTTTAACAGGACCCGTTCAGAATTCGCAAAATACCCAACCCTTAGTTTCTTACTTCAGTTCAGTCACGCTTGATAAAGTTTTGACCAAGTTCTGGGAAATTGAAGATGTACCCACCCAACCCAAAGTTTCAGAAGAAAGTTCTTCATGTGAAGAAACTTTTATGACCACTACCCTTCGATTACCAAATGGCCGTTATCAGGTAAATTTACCATTTATATACCCTCCTGTTGAGTTAGGAAACTCTAGACACGTTGCTATGGCTCAATTTCTAAGGAACGAGAAAAGTTTGATGAAAAAGCCAGAGCTTAAAATGGAATATGATAACGTGCTACATGAGTATATCGACTTAGGTCATATGAAACCCATTAAATATAACCCAAAGACTCCTTCAAACACCCATTATTATTTACCCCATCATCACAAAAGATCGAGTTGTATTTAATGCATCTAGCGAAACCTCGAATAGCAACAGTCTTAATGATACCCTACACACTGGTCCTACCCTTCAACAAGATTTAGTTGTACTTATCTTGAAATGGCGCTTTTACAATATACTTTATAATGCCGACATTACAAAAATGTACCGGCAAATTATGCTAAACCCTACCCACACACCCTTCCAACGAATATTATTCCGTAAAAGAGTCAACGAACCCATTCAAGATTATGAACTGCAAACAGTTACATTTGGTGTTAACTGTGCGCCATATCTGGCTATTAAAACTCTACACAAATTAGCCGATGACATTCAAAATACCCACCCTATAGCTTCGCAAATATTGCGAAACAACATGTATGTTGACGATGTCTTAGCCGGAGGTCACACAATTGAGGAAGCTCAAAAAGCTCAATCCCAATTGATCGCGGCTCTTGACTCTGCTGGTTTTCCTTTGAGAAAGTGGATTTCCAATACAAAGGATTTATTACAAAATTTACCCGAAGAACATCTACTAGATGTTGATTTACACACCCTACCCGAATCAAATAATGCTAAAACGTTAGGCATTCGTTGGAACGCTAAGAAAAATACGTTTTTCTTTAATGTACCCTTAATTGAAAGAAAATCAGCATACACAAAGCGAACTGTGTTATCAGACATTGCTCGTCTATTTGACCCAGCTGGTTGGTTAGCGCCAATTGTTATATCTGCCAAGATTATTATGCAGCAAATTTCGCAAGATAATACAGCTTGGGATGAATGTCTTAACCCACTCACCCTTATAAAATGGCAAAAGTTTTTGCAGTTCTCCGATAATATTAATCGAATTCGTATTCCAAGATGGATTAACTTTTCACCTTCAGCAAAAATTGAGTTTCATGGCTTTTCAGATGCTTCTGAAAAGTCATACTCTGCATGTCTATATGCACGAGTAACACCCATAGACGGACCTAATTCCGTAACCCTACTCTTCGCTAAGACGAGAGTTGCGCCAATCAAAGTAATCTCGTTACCAAAACTAGAACTTTGTGGTGCAGTGTTGTTGGCAAATATGACACACAATTTACTCACCCAACTCAACCTACCCTTACATCAGACGTATTTCTGGATCGACTCATCTATAGTTTTGGCCTGGCTTAGTAAACACCCTAACTCGTGGAATACATTTGTGGCAAACAGAGTTTCAACAATTCTACAAACAGTAGGAGTAGATAACTGGAATCATCACACGATAATCCTGGCGATGTTGCTAGCCGAGGATGTAATGCTGATGAGTTAAAAGATGACACTTTATGGTGGAATGGACCATCGTGGTTGAAAGAAGTCGCGTCGAAGTGGCCAAAAACAAATAAACACTTTATTACTCAAGCTGAAGCTAAAGTTAGTCAGTCGTTTACTACGACAGTATTCGTATTAACCCTTCCTTGGTTAATACGAATACTGAAAACCCAGATATATTATCAAGATTTTCGAAATTGTCAAAAGCTCTAAAGGTAATGACATATGTCTATCGATTTTGCGATCGCGCATCATATACCCGAAGAAATATAATTCGAAATGATAGAGTTATTCTTGATCGAAATAACCCACAACTAGTCAATGATAGACTACGTTTATTAACTACTCACCCAAGTATTGAACTTGATGCCATTTTTAGATTCTGCAAAGATAATGCGTGCAAATGGTAGACTAGCAAATTCCAACAGTTTGTCCTATTCCGAAAGACACCCTATATTAGTACCCTATAAAAGGCATTTGCTAAGCTACTAGTACAACACGTCCACCTGGTAACCCTGCATGGTGGAAATCAACTTATGTTGAGAATAATCCGATCAGGATATTGGATTCCGAAACTTAAGAATCTGATTAGTAATGTTGTTAACAAATGCTCACCCTGCATAAGATATAGAAGATTATGGCGGCGTTGCCACCAGAAAGAACCCATTGATAAAGCTTTTACAAATGTTGGAGTTGATTTTGCAGGACCATTTGACGTCAAAGCGTATAGTGGCAGAACTTGTAAAATAACGAAAGGTTACGTTTGTGTTTTTGTTTGCTTTGCAACAAAAGCCATCCACTTGGAGCCAACATCTGATTTGTCTACCCAAGCCTTTATGGCAGCCTTGGCTCGATTTTTTTCGAGGAGGGGATGCCCTGTCGCCATTTACTCGGACAATGGGACAAATTTCATTGTAGCTAGTAAGCTATTGAAGAAAGAGCGACTGGAATTCATCAGGCAATTGAAAGGTTCCGTTATATCTACCAACAGTTTTCTGAATTTGACGTGGCATTTTATACCCCCAGGAGCACCACACATGGGCGGTTTATGGGAGGCAGGAGTTAAAAGCTTTAAAGCTCATTTGAAGAAAATAAATACCCTTAAATATACATTTGAAGAGCTAGCTACACTCCTTGCTCGAATAGAAGGATACCTAAACTCGAGACCCTTATGCCCGTCAAGTGAAAATCCTCAGGACCTTAACCCGTTAACCCCTGGACACTTTTTAATTGGCTCACCCATACTTACCCCTGCAGAACCCGACACAAGCAGTGATAATATAACCCTGGCAAACAGATGGCAAAAACTAAAGATACAACATCACAACTTTTGTAAAAGATGGAAAGATGAATATCTTAAAGAGCTCCATAAAAGATATAAGTGGATATTGTAGTAATTAGACAAGACAATTTAGCACCCAATGAATGGTTACTTGGACGTGTGACCAAAACATACCCTGGTTCTGATGGTAGAAGTAGAGTAGTTGATTTACAAACTTCAACTGGTACTCTAACCCGACCAATTACTAAAATTGATGTTTTACCGCTAATTAGTCTAATACTTTTACTCAAACCCTAACCCAAAATAACAATATCATCACTAACTAGCTCAACTAACCATTTAACCCTTCACCTTAACCCACTAACACATTCATTACACTTCATTCTTTAACACATCATTTCTTTTACACAGAATATGGCACCCAACAACAACAATCGCAAAGGACGTACCAACCGTCCCAGCCGCAATGGATCTCGGTCCAAACCCAATCGCAAAAACGATAAGCGTCAACCAAAACGCCATTTTGTTTGGCGAGGAACCATCTCATTGGCGGTTGCACCAATTACAACATCCATTACGAAAACCTTCGTACCGGCTGTAGTTGTCCAGATGATCATGGAAAGCGGAAACCGGATAGCAAGGGCCATATTAAACCCCAGCCTAACAAAGTCCCGAATTGCAACCGTGTTAGTACGAGACACCAGTTTGAAACCCTTCACAATCGACAACGAGGTTTTCGTCAAAGTGTTAATTGGACCAAATCTAACATCAAACGTTAGATACGAGGTTTGTATGGAAGTTGTTAAAGATCTTCCAAAAACCCTTTACCCAAACCCAATGGACGAAGCCATTAAAAACAAAGTTTGTCGTATCTCACTTGCTGACCCCGAATTTTATTCGAACAAACCTGTCTCTATGGAGATTGGAGGAGATTTATACACCAGCATTCTTCAGCCCAATGTAATCCACATCGACGGGGGCTCACTTATAGCTCAGGATTCTACTCTTGGCTGGTTGGTCATGGGATCCTCTACCCAATAAACCCGCACACAATGAAGTATTTTACATGCATAATTTACCCTATTACCCTACACAATTTTTATTGAATAAATAAAAATAATTGTCCTTTTCTCTTCACAGTTTGCCAGGCCCGGGAGGATGTTCACATCAGTGAACACATAACACTGTCCATCCCTGACGTCATTTAATACCCACACATAACTGCAGCCAACTTCATCTACATATGAACGTCAGCTGCAGCTTTGGCCTTCATCTTTAACTTACTTATAATCAACCTGTGTGAAGAACAAGAAGTGTGTGATCAACAAACCGAAAAACAAAACATCAACCCCTAAAACATAAAAATAAACTTAAAAGTTTTTAAATAAATAAATTAAAAACTTAAACCTAAATAAAAACATACAAACGAAAACCCTAAACCTAAAAATAAAATATTAAAACTTAAATACTAATTAAGAATACATATATCACAGATCAGTGTATTAAAACGTGAATTTAACCTAATATTGATCTTAATATTGAAAAAAAAATTGTGTTATATACTTACTTATCTTATATACTACCCAAAAGTTCAATAAACACATATGAATTTATAACGTTTTTGAAAAGAAATGGAAACGAGTTTTATTTACTTACCCACTACTTAAAACTAATCTATACCCTACCCTTTCTAACCCGAAAAAACACTTACATTTTTTCAACATTTTATCCAAACGTATGTACATACACACATACAGTGTCTCACATAAATATTCGAATTTATTATTTTTTATGAATTACTGTGTTATTTTATGATGCTACTTTAAAAATAATAATAGTATTTAAAATTGTTTAATGAAATTTTATTAATTTATATTATTTTTACGAAATACAAGAAAAAAATAAAAAAACTCATTAATGGTTTCCAAGAAAATGGAAAAAACCCAAAAAGGGTCATTTCAGGTACTGCGCAAAAATATTCGAATTTTTTCTGAGAACTTTTTTTAGAATCCTTGAACACGTGTTTTATTGCCCATTAATTAACCCATTATGTAGGTAGTGGTTATATGGAATATTTAACATTATATTTTTTGGAAATTTGCATAATTATGTTGTAAATCCTTCCTGTGTAAGCGATTAAAATGTTCAAAGAAAAAGAGTTGATCAATTCAAATTAAAAATTACTTTATATCTGTATTATCAAGCCCGATCAATTAAATACATATAGGAATTGTTTGATAGATTCCCATCGACAATATATTTTGTCATTACACGCATGGAACAAAGAATTCCATCGAGTATTTACCATTATCAAGTCGTCCAAAACTGCTGTTAATACAGGACGACAGAGAAATACTGAGGAAATACCGTAGGAACCTTCATCTATCAGCTCCAAAAATTAACAACGAACTCAGGACAGTCCTGTGAATAAAAATTAGTGTCGCAATTGTGTGCAAAGTACTAGGGAGCTATAATTTGCATGGTCAAGTACCAAGGTGGAAACCGCTCATATCAAAGTTAATCGATGTTAAGTGTCTTGACTCCGTAAATAGACTCATAAGTAAGAATATTGGATTCTGGAAGGAGGTTATCTTCGACGATTAGAACAAATATAATATATTTGGCTCCGATGGTCGTCAAATGATATGGCGAAAGCTTGGAGATGCCTTGGAATTATCTAAACTAAAACCAACTGTAAAGGACCCAAGTTGCTCTGCCATATTTTGGGGTTCTGTGTCCGTCCACGGTGTTGGACTGCTAAAATTTATTATTGTAATTATAGACTAGAAGGTCTACTTGTCAATTTTAGAGCAGAATTTGCATGATAGTACCACCAAAATGGGGCTACAACCCATTCAATTTATTTTTCAACAGAAAAACTATCCAAAATACACGACCTGGTACGTGAAAATGTTGATCATTTACGACACTAAGAATCTTCTTTCACCAAATTTTCAATGGAGTTAATGTCTGGACTTAAACTCCATTGAAACAACTTTTAAATCACTCATTATCCTCCAAAACCACCATACGGTTGCTTTGCATGAATAATGGGACATAATAACGCCAGAACTATTCCATAAATTGGTAGAAACGGTCCCACGTCGCTTGGAAGTTGTTTTTAAAAACAAAGGCTACTATACGAAACATTCATTTCATTTTAATTGTTTATTTTTACTTCATAATGCTAATCTAAATATGATTTATACAAAAAATTCGAATACTTTTGTGAAGCAATTTTTTGCACTTTTTTAAAAAAAGTTAAATTAGTTTAAGTAAAATATATTTTTTTTTTAATTTTTAAAATGTGATATCAAATTTAAGGACTGTCTGGACAACATAATAAATTTATTTATTTTTCCCACAAAATCTATTATAAAATGGTGTCTATTTTCATAATACATTAAATTCGAATACTTATGAGAGACACTGTACATATGTACATATATATGTATGTATCAGCTAGCTACCTGCCACTGTCATTTGTTCTTTGTTTAGTTTTCCATATTCATTGACAGGGATGTTTCATCTCCATGGTGTTTGGTCGTAATACCAATTCGAAGTTGCCTTTCAGATTTTTTTAACTAGCTGCGTGTACCCGGCGTTGCCTGCGTTTCTTCAAAAACTAAAGAGAATATTTTTCTATCTGTAATGACTTTTTTTGAAATAGATATCAAAATTTATCTTATAACGATAAAATAGTTTTTATTTTTCTGCCTTTTTTTAATCCTTAAAGTGAGTTTCTGGACAAAAAAGTCCCTTAAAAGTTTAGAAGTTGAAAATGAGCTTAAATTTTGACTAATTTGTAGAAAAATTTAAAAAAACTTTTTTTGAGAAATTATACTGAAATCAGCATTTTCAATCACTGGTAGGGAACTAAGAACACTTTCAAATGATTTATTTTATTTTTTCAATGTGCAGTAGATTTAAAGAACTATTCAGTTTAAATTACGTCACACCGTACTTTGAATTGTAGTGCCCCTGGTGTAAAGAGGCAAAAGTCTTCGGTTTTTATATAATACTAGCTTTACCCAGTGTGCTGTGCTACCCTAAAAGCTGTATAAATAAAAAACCCACTTAACGATTTTGATGCTCCTAACTGCAATAGTTGTCTAGATTTACAATATGTTACATATTAGAGATGCCAAGCAAATTACTGAAAGTTCGCCAATTTCTATCTATCTATGAAAAATTTTAATAATATAATAGTTTCCAAGATATACGAAATTTTGTATTTAATTCATTTATGTGGTGCCAAGCCCCCAATTGAAAGCTTGCCCGTTATTCTCTAAATGTTCACATGAATGTCAGAGTATTTCTGTAAAATTTTAAGATTCTAGCTCTAATAGTTTCTCAGATATACAATTTTTCTATTTCAATCATGTGAGGGCTTCAAGCTCCCCAGATGAAAGTCCGGTCTTTTTCCTCCAAAATATTCAGATGATTATTGAAGTAATTTCTGCAAAATTTGAAGAATCTAGTTCTATTAGTTTCCCAGATGAACGAAATTTTATATTTAAGTCAAATGGGAGTTGTCAAGTTCCCCATTGAAAGTCCGCCCGTTATACTCTAATTGTTCAGATGAATGTCAAAGTTTTTCAAGTAAAATTTGAAGATTTTAGCTCTAGTAGTTTCCAGATATACGATTTTTTCTAATTAATTCATATGAGGGCTCCACGCCTCCCCATATGAAAGTGCGCTCGGTTTTCCCCAAAATGTTCAGTTGAATATTAAAGTAATTTATGCAAAATTTTAAGAACCTAGTTCTATTAGTTTCCCAGATAAATGAATTTTTGTATTTAATTAATATGGGAAGTGCCAAGTCCCCCATTTAAAGTCCGCCAATTATTCCCTACATGTTCACATTAATGTCAAAGTACTTCATGCAATATTTAAAAATTCAACATCTAATAGTTTCTCAGATATAAGAATTTTTCTATTTAATTCATGGGGGGTTTCAATCCCCCAAGATAAAAGCCCGCCCTTTTTTCTCCAAAATGTTTAGATGAATATTAAAGTAATTTGTGCAAAATTTGAAGAATCTAGTTCTATAAGTTACCCAGATAAACGAAATTTTTGTATTTAATTAATATGGGAGGTACCAAGTCCCCCATTGAAAGTCCGCCCGTTATACTCTAATTGTTCAGATGAATGTCAAAGTTCTTCAAGTAAAATTTGAAGATTCTAGCTCTAATAGTTTCTCAGATATACGAATTTTTCTATTTAATTCATATGGGGGCTCCAAGCCCCCCCAGATGGAAGTCCGATCTTTTTCATCCAAAATGTAATTTATGCAAAATTTGAAGAACCTAGTTCTATTAGTTTCCCAGATAAATGAATTTTTGTATTTAATTACTATGGGAAGTGCCAAGTCCCCCATTTAAAGTCCGCCAATTATTCCCTAAATTTTCACATTAATGTCAAAGTACTTCATGTAATATTTAAAGATTCTACATCTAATAGTTTCTCAGATATAAGAATTTTTCTACTTAATTAATGTGGGGTTTCAATCCCCCAAGATAAAAGCCCGCCCTTTTTTCTCCAAAATGTTTAGATGAATATTAAAGTAATTTGTGCAAAATTTGAAGAATCTAGTTCTATTAGTTACCCAGATAAACGAAATTTTGTATTTAATTAATATGGGAGGTACCAAGTCCCCCATTGAAAGTTCGCCCGTTATACTCTAATTGTTCAGATGAATGTCAATGTTCTTCAAGTAAAATTTGAAGATTCTAGCTCTAATAGTTTCTCAGATATACGAATTTTTCTATTTAATTCATATGGGGGCTGCAAGCCCCCCAGATGGAAGTCCGATCTTTTTCATCCAAAATGTTCAGACGAATACTTAAGTTCTTGGTGCAAAAGTTGAAGAATTTAGTTCTATCAGTTTCCCAGATAAACGAATTTTTTTGCCGCTCCCCTTATGGGTAGTCCGCCAATTTATTTCCCAAAATGTTAACATGGATGCTAAAGTTATTTGTGCAAAATTTTAAGATTCTGACTGTAATAGTTTCTAAGATAAACGAATTTTTGTTTTTAATTTATATTAATAATGCTAGTCCGCCCACTTTTTGTCCTAAATAATTATATTGACACTAAAGTGGCTCCGACAAAATTTGAGGACTCTAACTGTTATATTATCTCAAATATACGGATTTAATA